CCAACCCTCCCGTGCGGCAGAACTGCACGTGCGACCCTCTCACATAACCCCCGCAATTCTGGTCTCTTCTAACCGCAGAAGCCACAGCCCCTATCCCTGGCAAATGTGCAGCCCTAACGAGATTAGTTTTTAAGCCCTTCAGAAAGTGCGGTAGCGACCAAGAGTGCGTGCAAAGCGTCCCTGTCGGCTTAGTCCACACAGCGTCAGCAAGGGACCGTCCGAAATGCCAGCAGAAGCCGTGGCGTTTGTTCTGTGACAGCCGGACAGGACAAGACAGAGTGGGATCTCCGGGGAGACCACCAAAGATGGCTTGGGTTGCTAATGTTACGCGTAGCAGGGCGTGCGATAAATGGGACGCCGACAAAGTTTGACCTGTGGTACCTCCATACAACACTTCTCTATCAGCTGGGCTTTCTGAAGATATGTCTTCTCACCAAATTCGTTACGTAAGCTAGTCAAACAATTTACATAACTGTCTTTACATCGTTTTAAAATCCACGTTCTTCATGAGTCAGATTGGGTACAGCCATACATTAGCGTATAGAAATAAAAGAGATTCTTAGCCGAGATGCAGCAAATGATGAAAACGGGCCTAACGTAACACAATTTGGCATATCAAGAAAAGGTATATTACCCAACCTTCTGATGCGAATGTTTCATTCACAGAGAATTACAAAACAACAGAAACAAACAGGAAGCATAATATAATGAAAAATTATATGCATATCCCACTTCAAATGCCGCCATTCTCCGCGCCAAAGAGTATCTTGGTTGTGCCGTTGAAGTGCCAAGGGCGCCCGGTTGGTATTTATCGTCGGGCGCTCCGTATGAGGGACTCTAATAATGAGAAAAACAGTCGAGCCAAGGCCGGGTTGGACACTGCTAGATGTGTCGACGATTTCGAGCTTGGCAAAACACTTAGGTTCTTTCCACAAAATGGATGTACAGCTAATTGTCTCATTTTCGAAACCGACTCGTGTCGAAACGAACGTCTTGGATTTAGAATTTGATTGTTTTGTGTACATGCGATATTGCATTTCCATAGCCTGTTTGTTCGTCCGCAAAGTAGGATAAGATGTACAGAGCTACTCTACAAGTATTCTTCAGCATACAGGGGTTGCATGCTAGAATGTTGAGCCTCGTCGTTTTCCAGAGTTCCTATTTTTCGTCTACATGTTCTGGTTCGATGCCCTTTTCATATACGCAAAAAATTGTGTTATCTCAGACCTTAACCTGTAATGTATCCAACGTCCTCCGTGTATGTATCCTATGCATCATACTCGTATTTATGTATAATCAGTCCCTGTTCACTATAAATAGAATAGTGATTAGATATTAGACTCGTTGTTCAGTACTGTTTACCAACTTACTAAACATTGTATCCGTCACAATTATTGTGCAGTAAAGTTGATTGATCTAGTTTGCAAACCGGCTGGACGTCTGTCGAGCAGAACTATAACTAGACCTGAGAACGAAGGTCGCATCTGTTCGGTCGTAGCCAGGCCTGGTCGTAGCTCCTTTATAGAGGTAAACCCCAGGAAGAATGTCTTGCCCCAGTTACCTTGGCTGACCCTATGTCGACACGGAAGCTCCCCGAACAAACTAATGGGACATGTGCCAAGGAAAACGTGCAAGGAAGATTGTAAACATTTCAGCTATTTTCAACATGCCACCCCAGTGTCTTCTGAAAGCCCCTGTTACTCATTTCGAGAACTTCCAAGAACTTCTCTCGGTTTTGTTCAAAAGTGCCCTCTGTGGGACGAGGAAATGTGATAAAAAAAACGGTCCTGCCCCGGGAGCAGAGGGTGAAATGTTGGGGTGGAATGATCAACTGTGCCCAGAGCACCTCGCTTGTTCTCGTGGGGGTGAGAAGAATGTTCTGTGTAACGAACAGGCACATGCTGACACTATCTTAGGAACATCGGCAGCCGGCACCTATACACACACACGGGTAGCTGGCTGGGGGATTCTATGATATATACTAGTTTCAAAACATGTTTTGCCAACATTGGAAACTGGTGGGAACTTTGGATGTAAGAT